GGAAACACACACTCTCCATTTGTACACATTCCCAGGTAATCCCTTGGCAGTCACTCAGCTCGGGGTTCCATTCCATATTTTCAACAAAGTGCAAAACAACTCCACAAAACAGAATCCTCTGCGTTCCCATGTGGAATGGGTCTGGTGTGGCCACCAAGAGAGGATGAAGAAACTAACTCCTCCCTAGAGAAGGGTCTGATCACCAAACCTCTCCCAAGCCAAGACCCAGGGACAGAGAGAGGGAACTACTACAAGGAATGCTTGGCCTCTCAGAGCTATTTACAAATAACTGACCCACAGCACCCATCTCATGATGATTTCTGTCGTGGTTGTGCTATGGTAGTAGGGGTAGGGGTAGGGGTAGGGATAGGAGGAGAAAGAGGAAATGGGAAAAATGGGCCTTGGCTACAGCTGATCAGTTGCAAAGAGCAGTTTTACATGAGATTAGGCATGAGTTCTGTCCACAAGATGGTTAACAAGCAATCGTCCCTGCTCAGGGTAGTGGTCATGGTTAATCTAATAAGGAGGGCTCAGCCGGTCTGATAATGGTGGGCCGGTTCGGTGCTGCTGGGGGTCTTCTGCTGCAGAGAGGAAAAAAAGAGAAACAGTGAGATGTGAAGAGTAGGAAGGGGGAGATCACAAAATATTAGTAGGTGAAGTCAGTGCTCACAACCCAAGCCAATCTGAACTAGGGAACGTCTCTGTCCTGAAAGATGAAACAGCCACACTTTGGGGAATACTTTGCCAATACGTTAAGAGTTCAGAATTTTTTATTTGCTGGAAAAAAGGAGACCTTTGTCACCTGTTAGGAGACACCAACTCTAGCTTGCTTCTACCTTGGCCAAGCAGCAGGTAGGCTATGCAAAAGACCAGCCCATTCTGATCCACTGACAGACTTTGGGCCTTTGTAGACTGCCAGAAATAATGCAGCTTGAGTCCACTTTAACTACCCTGGCTCAGTGCTAGGGAATCATGGGAACTGTAGTTTTTTCTGAGACATTGAGCCTTCTCTGTCAGAGAGCTCTGGTGCCACAATAAACTACTGTTTCCATGATTCCTTAGCACTGAGTCAGGGCAGTTAAAGTGGCCTCAAGCTGCATTATTTCTGGCATTCTGCAAAAGCCCGTTGTGATCTTGCAAAGAGACACTAGGTATTGTTCATTCACACCTGTGTTCTGCTTTCCCTCATTGTCATATGGATGGGTGACATCTTTAAAGGTCTGCTGCTATCAATGCTACTCTCAAGGATGGGGCACAAGTCACACCAATTAATTAATAAATATATAAGCTTATTTGAAAAGGCTGTGCATTCTGTGATTTAAAAGTTACCAACATTCTGTACCAGGATATCTCAGCAATAAGGAAAGTTGAATTTTGAAAATGAATGTACTACATAAATGTTCATGGGACTGTTTTAAAAAATCTGAATAGTCTATTTTGCTGACTTTGTGCAAATGGCTAAGTTGGTTGAACTGCTGAACCCAGCTGGTCGTCCCAACTATAGCAGAGCAGGACTGATAATTTAACATTTGTGCAAATCATACAGATTACTCTAATTGGGACTAGCAACTGAATTTGGATATTAAAATCCATTTCAGTCCAGTCTCTGATGACTTACTTCATTGTTACCCATTTTTTGAGAATTCAGTAGGTACTGAACTTTTAAGCACATCTTTACATCATAAAAATCAGAAACTTACAATACAACCTTCAAAGTTTCTAATTCTCAGAGAGCTATATTCCATGAACCCTATACTATATTCTGTAACTTCTTCATGCTTGTGGAGGATGGTGGTTCCATGTTCTTCCCAAACATACGCTAGAGTGTTTTCAGAACAAATGCTCTACATCACTTGCCAGCTTTTGGACAGTCGGAACTATGGCAGGCTTGCCCAACCTGCAACCTTCCAATGTACTGGAGTACAATCCTCATCCTTCTTAGCCAGGAGGATCATTTTTGGGCTAGAGGTAATGGAAGCTGCAGTCTAACATATCTGGATGGCATGAGGTTGAAGAACTAGGGAGAATAGCTTCATTGGGACCATGACAAAATATTTCCATTTTGATGCAACAACAGGACAGACACAGTAGCTAAAAAATATGTGGGAGAGCAAAAACTACAAAAAGTTTACCCAAGATTAAATTCTTCGAATTACTATTAGCATGAATGAGTCTGTAAACTGTTTGCTCATTCACATAATTTCTTTTCATCATGGAGCACACTGGGACCCTATTCTTGACCACATTCTTGCCTTCTTAAGACATTACCAGCCATTTTCCACACACTTCTTTGTACATCCACAAGAGCAACAAGTTTAAGATGAAAGCAGTAATCTCTAGACAACTAAATTCTACACCCAATGCTAAAATATGCACATTTTCTGTTTTTCTAAGGAACATCGCAACCCTAATCACAGAGAACCAGTCAATGTTTCTGGCACTGCTGTCTCAGGTTGCCTCTGAATTCAGAAATCATTCCTATGGTACACTGTACTAAATTTGAATTAGTTTGGAAATGGAGTTTTCCTCTAACTTGTGGTAGTGAAAGTGATAGCTCTCTAGGAAGAACAGCCATTTATAAGGTGGGTACTACAACAGAGATGAACAAAAATATAGAAGCAACCTCTTTGTAACTCAAGAAAAGGGGACTAGATGCTATATCTGATCCTCCTTAAACATACTCCATTTATTCTAGTGAAGCTGTACCAAATAAACGTTGTTGTAAATGCATTTTTCCAGTTTTCTGCTCTGAATTCTCTCATATTCTCCTTCATTTTTAATGGGGACACTGTTATACAGAGGAAAAAGTAAGACAGATAAGCTTGAGGGGTCTACCGAAACAATGCTTCCAGCAGCCCTGCAAAGCCAAGAGGAATGCTGTGAAAAGTGAACTGGCCTCTACCTGGGCACGCCTGGAGGAACGCCGGGTGGAACGCGTGCTGGCCGTGAAGGAATCTGAGGAGGGGCTGAAAAGGGGTCATTATTAGCAACAAAAGCACTCTGGGGTCCAGGGCGTGAAGGAATGGGTGGTGCCACAAAAGAGGAAGGGCCTGCTGCTGGTACTGGGATCAAGGGAGGGCCTGGCATGGGACCCCTCACAGCTGGGGGTCTCCCTGGTGGCAGAACAGTAGAAGGAGGCCTGCGCTGTGGTGTTGGGCTGCAAAGGAAAGAAAAGAGAACCATTAGAATAGGCACAAAGGTTAGCACAGGTTAATATAGCAGAATCTCAAGTCTGAAGTCCAATGGCAAAAAAAGCTGCATGTTTCACAATCTGCATGTGTTTCCCATTTGGGAAAACTGTTTCCAGAGCTGATCAAGGCTATCTAAAACTCTCACTGAATAATACTGACAACAGAAGAATTTAAAAATTACCAAGAAGCTCAGGGATTAGATATACATTTCAGTGCCAAAATTGTAGGGGATGTTAGTTAAATATAGTTCCCTAAGGCCTTGCTGATGTTCTGGGAAGAAGAAAGATCTGAAAACATCATTGTCACTTTGACTTGTCACTTGTGCCTTCTAGGTTTGCTGGTTCTCCCCATATCTTAGCAAAAAGCCCATCAAATTCAGATGACAGTCCACTGCAACTCACCTATGACCACTGCTGCCTGCCTGAAGCCACGTGTCATCCACAGGAGGAGGAACTGGTGTGGAAACTGTGCTGGTACTGATGTCTCCAATTATGTGCAAGGCTTCCTTCAGGGCATGGTACATTCGCAACATGTCATCCCTGCGCTGTGCCTGGTCCGCAGACTCCTCCATCAAGCTGCTTTGGTCTGCAGAGGAGTACAGATAGGCCAGCAGCTCCGAGTGGATGAAATCCTTGGTCTGTGGGGATGAAGGAACATAGACCACACTGAATAGGTAATGCTTTATTCCATCTGATGGGTTGGATGTGATGGCCTAAATCCTGTTCGAGTCTTGTGTAAATCCTACTGACTGAATGGGTCTACTCTACTTGGGATTAGTGATTGGCTTTAGGCTGGTATATACAAATAGGAGAAATGTTAGGAGTCAATCTTAATCTTGGTTAGGTGCTTAGCTTGTTTAAGCCATCAGCCAGAGCATGAGCACCTCCATCCACCTGGTGATGCAGTGGTTAAATATGTGTACTGTAGGCACTCACTCACAAACCACAATGTTGTGAGTTCAATACCAGCCACGGGCTCAGGCTTGACTCAGCATTGCATCCTTTTGAGGTCGCTAAAATGAGTTCCCAGTTTGTTGGGGGCAATTAGCTTACACATTGTAAACTGCTTAGGGAGTGCTTAAGTGCACCAATAAGTGGTAAAGAAATGTACTTGCTATTGCGATCTTGTTTTGGTGCACACACACACACACACATACAGAGACTGCCAGCAGCAACACTGGATTTTTATTACTGACAGCCATCGTGGGAGACTTTTTTTGGAGTGGGGGATATGTAACATCCATGTTGATCCAAGGCCACTGCAATGTAATGCACAATATGGCAGTTTATTTAACCATGGTCCAACCTCTTCATGCTTTATTTTTAAGCCAAAACTTTAAAATATGATGTATAGATAATGTTTAACACTGATTTATCATTCAAATATGGAGAAATATTGAGACAAACTTCCTTCACACTTTGTAGCAATTACTCTTAATTAAAATCCTGAGGAAACAGTCACCAGCTATGTAAGAATGCTATCTTAGATTTAATATTCTTAAAACATTTTTGGCCCCACTCGACTAAAACATTGTCAAGAAGCTACCTGAGGAGTGGACCAAAAATTTGTGGACTTCTGCCTTTATATTTACAAACTGAAAGATAACAGAACTATTAAGTAAAAGACTTGATACTGGGAAAATGCAAAATTTATTCATTTTCATGCAGCAAGACGCAACAAGCTGAAGAGGTTTATTTAAGTCAGCCTCCCGTTATAGCATTTTGAATGGAAACTCACCATTTTAACTTACAGCTTGAGCAATGATTTAATGTAATATATAAATAGGTGGAATACATATGATTAAGGGGAGCCAGTGTGGTGTAGTGGTTTGAGCGCTGGACCACAACTCTAGAGGCCAGGGTTCAAATCCCCACTCAGCCATGGGAACCAGCTGGGTGACTTTTGGCAAGTCACACGCTCTCAGCCTTAGAGGAAGGCAAAGGCAAACCCCCTCTGAACAAATTTTGCCAAGAAAACCATATGATAGATTCTCCAGAGGGTCATCATAAGTCAGAAACAACTTGAAGAAACACAGCAACATTGTTGAACTATAAATTTAACAAAAACATATGTATTCCATCTATTTTCCTGAAAAGGATCTCAAGGAAACGAGCAAAGTCAACAACATTTCAAACTATCTTAAAATTCCATGCAAACAAACAACACATATACAGATTCCACATCTACTGAAATGTTTAACCAAATACCATAATGAAGAGGTCTTACATATGTGCTACCTAAAAACAGTACAGTGTTAAGACTCTGACTCCACTGGAAAATTATTCCACAAGGGAGGGGTTGCAAACATCAAGAAGATTCTAGTTCAAGGTGGGCAGCTGTGGCGGTTGGGGACTCATTTTCACCACCGCACTCCTCCATTGGGCTGCACCCTCTACAAACTGGGGGATAAGTAGCCAAAAACTAAATAAAAAGAACCTTCTACTTTCTCATTTTGGTCAATTTTGTTGGGTAGACAGGGAGATTTGGGATGTTTCAAGGGTGTGGCCTCCAACATCCATCAAACTTGAGAGAGGTCAGAGGCTGGAGGGGATCTTCAAGGCCTGCAGAAAACGTCTGTGGGGGTCTGCATGTCACTTGCTAGCCTCTGTTTCAGATGCTGAGGCACCATGCTGAGTTTCATGAGGCTGGGACAATGGGCTGAAACAGTGCCACAAATGACACCTAATAAATTACCTAACTGAAACAGATATATATATATTCTGGATACCCATAGAGAAAGAACAGCTTGTTTAAATCCAGATCACAGAATTCAACTGAGGTTAGGGTTTGCTTTTGTTTTAGTCTCTGAAGTGTCTATTCTTGGGCATTCTAAATCAATGGCATCTTAGAATTAAAACAACAGCCCCAAGAGGAGAGGAGAATGCACAACTGCCTTTTGCTTCCTGCTCTCCAAGAATTTCTAACTTACTTAATATCAATCTTGTGCGTTCTGCTGGGGGCATACACAAGCTTGATTTTAGAAAAGATGCAGAAGCACAGAAATTAATGTCAGCAAGAAATGGCCTGAAATACAAAGCCAGCAGTTACAAAAGTAAGGCTGAAACTGATGGGACAATGTTGGTAGTGATGGAACACCCTGCTTCAACTCTGCAAAGAAACAAAATGCCAGCACTTACATTGTTTATCATTAGGTGCATTATTGTCTTTGGCATAAGGTCCCGGATAGATTTGTTGATGATCCCGACATACGAGTCAACAAGATTTCGGATTGTTTCCACTTGTCGCTCCAGTTGAGGATCCATGGAAAAGGTGTTTTCCTGACCGCCGTCTTCATTCTCTGCCTGCTCGGAGAAAACATCAGAGGATGTTGCAATGCCAACACAGGAAGAGTTCACACATCTTTTCAGGACATCATTAAACCTTTCCCTCCTCCATTTCCAAATGGACAAACCAAGCTGCAACAAAATTGTCAAAGAGTGCTAAAAAAGCCAAATGAAGTGATCTGTAATCTAAGAAAGTTTATTATGATATTGAGTCATTAAGATGCCACAAAACTCTGCACTGCTTTTGTTTTCCCAGTGGCCAGGTTCTGAAGCAACTTGGATCTGCTATTTTGGTTTCAAGCACGCATCTAACTTAGGGGCTGTTCCTTTTTAGAGTGGCAAAAAGTCACCCTTGCCGCGGCAGCGGCTTTTCGACACTCCTTTGACACAGTGTGTAAACACTGCGCCAAGGAAGCGCCCTGATGCTGCCCGCCGTTTGGTTGGGTGGGCAGCATGACAGTGGCATCGGGGCAGAGTCAGGGCGGTCAGCGAGCAGTTGCCATGCCCCCACTCCACCCCCAGGCTGGCTCTTTTGGCTGGTCTGTACAGTTCCTTACTGAGGATCTGGAATTTTATGGACTGTGGATCTTTCTTCACACACACCCTTTGCAAAAACTTTCAGTGTCACAGTGACTGAATGGGATGAAAATCTTTCTCCTAATACATTGATTGCTTCCATCTCTTCTCTCATTCTTCCTACAGTTCTCAAATGCTCCTGCCCATTCAACTCTAGTTTCCTTTCACCACTTGGAAGTTCTCACATTTTCCCAGGATGTTTCCAGACCTTCCTCTTCAGATTTATTCTGCTACTGAATCACCAGAGATATTCACTGCCCACCCTTTCCCCACCGGTGTTACTTCTAGTTGCAACTTTTTGCATTACCATGCCAGTTTAGAACCCTATGTAAACATATGTTTTAAAAAATCAGCAATAGCAATAGCATTTACATTTCTATATCACTTCATACTGAACTAAGCAATCTCTAAGCATTTTACAATGTATAAGCCAATTGCCTCCAACAAGTTTTACATTTTACTGATCTACGAAACGATGGAAGGCTGAGTGGACCTTGGAGCCCCTCAGGATTGAACTCGCAACGTTGTGGCTGCAGTACAGGCATTTAACCACTGTGCCACCAGGGCTCCAAAATCCAGCAAAGGAGTTTGAGAAACCAACACATTATTAGAACAGTTAAGCAATGGGACTGGTGTAATGAGGGAAGTTATAGCATTTCTAATAGAAGGATGAAACAGACCTGCCCACCCCTCTCTGGGTCTACATTAGAACAGGCCTCCTCTTCACTTCTGGCAGCCTCCTGCAAGAATCTCAATGTGTGTAGCAATATCAGTTCTCTCTTTCCTAGAATGAGCACACTAACTCCTCTCCCAAATCTTCAGAGATCTGAGAAAAGAGTGAAGACCTGCCATTTCTGAGTATGTTTGTATTACCAGTCATCTGCTTTGTCACTACTTTTGGCTCACTCTCTTGAATGCTTCACTGTACTCGTATCAAAACTACATTTTTTACATCTAAATGGTTATTACCTTGAAACATAACTGTAGGGGGAGGAGCAAACAGAGGTAGGAGTATACACCTGATGTTTCTTGCAGCTGTCTCAAGCTAAGGAAATGGCATTAAAACCTCTGGATATGGACTACCCCATTCAGGATATGGTACCCAGCATGACACAGCCTCTTCTTCTTGCCTTGGGCATTCCTCAAAAGCCAGAGTGAAGAACTGTGCCTTAGCAAGCCCACCCTTCCCCTACTGCTGAAGAGAAAGAGAATGTTTACTTGGTCTTTCTCAGGATAAACACCAGCACGAAGGAAGGAAGCCTTCCAGCTGTCCACATCTTCCTGGGAGTCACAGGCAAGTTCAATCTGACGTAGGTCTTTATACACATTCCTAAATTGGGATAAAGAAAAGAGGGTAAGAAGAACATATTTCCCCTCGCCAGTGAGAAAAAAACTCTACAACATGCTATAAATAAGTTCAGTAGCTTTGCCTTTCTTTACTAATTTCTCTTGGCGTAAGAACATTTAAGACTGCAAGAAGATTCAGCTGGGTCAGCCATGAAAGAGATGCTGCTGCACCTAGACCAAGGGTTCCAACCTCGGAGTGTAGGGCACTGGAAAAAGAGTGGCTTGTGTCCTTGAATGACGAGTCATGAGTCATCACTCAATTTTTCTGAATAAATTAGAAACTAATTGCTCAATTTAGATTGCATTTTTTTTGTATCTAGTTAAAAGCTTATTTTTTTAAGTTCCATTTATTCACCTGCAGTTTTGTATGTGGTTCAATTTGTGGTTCAAAAATTAGAAATTAGACTTCATCATATTCAAATGTGATATTAGTTTAGAAGGTGTGAACATTAATCAAACATTTCCTGGGGGGTTGGGGAAAAGGTTGGGGACCACTGACCTAGCCAATCTGTGCCAAAAATAGTTGTGCACCAGTACGAATGTACCCCCATCTCCACTGAAATTTCACTTCCTGAGAGGGCTTCAGTGTGTTGCATTTCCCTTACCTCCTTCCTGGCAGGTATTTACATTAATATTTCCAACATCTCTGTGGCCAGGCTAGTTAGGATCAAGAAATGTAGTCCAAAACATCAAGAAGCCATCAGTTTATAAGACATTCACTACATTTATTGATTTTATTGTGAGCTGCCCAGAGATCTCATAATATGGACATGAAGTAAGATGTTATCTTATTTATTTAAAATGTTTATCACTTCCAAAACTCATTCAGGTATTATCATTAGATGCTCTTGTAGGTTATCAAGATTTCCTAAGCTTGAACAGAATGTGTGGCTCACTTCTACTGCATTTTTTAAAAATAGGTGCTCTGTCCACAAGTCTTTCTGCAAAACTAGCACAGATACAAGTTTATCCACATGAACTGAGCTAAGAGAATATAATGGGTTCCTGTTTGGTCTGAAAGAAATGAAAAGTCTATCTTGTCTTCTTATGCTACGACTCCCTTACCTTTGCTCTGTGTTAAAGATAGCAAACACGTGCTTGTTGGACATGAAACCTTTCTCCACATCTCTGATTTTTAGGTTGTCCAGAGGCAGCATGTATTTCTTCTCTTTCTCCTATGAAGACAAAGTGGGGATGAGTTACGGACAAAGGTATGCATGTTGGCTTTGTCCTGAAACTGGAAGCTCAATAAATTAGTAGGAAGAAGCTTCTTAAAATGGTCTTCAGTGTTTGCTTTACAGTCAAGGGCACATTTAATTGTTAAACTAATCCCTAAGAGTTCTAAATTTGGCAAGACCATGATATTACAGTTGGTCCTTGGTTTCCGTTGCAGTTTGGTTCCAGGATCCCCTGTGAATACAACACACACACACACACACACACACACACACACACACACACAGAGTATTTTCAAGCCATTGATGGTTGAATCCATGGATAAAGAATCTGTGGACACAGAGGGCCAACTATAGTCTTGCCACCACCATATCTTTAAAAGGCCTAGGCCTTTTCAATGTTTACTCATGCCAACATTTTTCATGCTCACTATGTTCATAAATATGCTGCACTGCCATGTTTCATTTTTATCCATATGTGGCCTGAGAGAAATCTAAT